CTTAATTACACCTGCAAAGATGCTTTTTCTAAATAAGGTCACATTCACAGGTCCTGGGTAGACAAATCTTTCAGGGAGCCACCATCCAACCCCCTACAGAGGTGAATATCAGGCGGGAATAAAAACTAAATGAGTTTAAATTGAGTTTAAACTTTAGTCCTCCAGTGAGTGATGACTTTTCAAAGCATAGACGACTGTTTTGGCGTGCACACTGGCTATTTCAGCACGGACTGTCCATGCATCACTTCAAAGGTCATTCTGAGGAGACAGCGTCTGCATTGCACTTGCTTCAAGGCTAATTTGAGGCTGTGAGTCTCTAGTCGGGGGACTCGCTGCAGACCCACCAGATCCTCTCTCCTCACTGCTGGGGACACTGCCACTGCTTGGAGAGGGGTCAAAATTGTTTCCTTCTGAAAAATGTCCGCCCCCACCTCCACCCCCCATCCCCCCAAAAAAAGCCAAATGCTAGTGCTGGTGATAAAAGGACAAAGAACAGACCCAAGAAAGTGCTGGTTCTCACCCAGGATGGTAGGCAGCCTGTAAGATGGATGTCCCCCTGATCCCTCCCTCCTAGTTTTTTCTGCCCTTGTGTAATTGTCTCTCCTCATGTGTGGGCTGGATCTAGTGACTTGCTTCTACTGAATAGAATACAGTAAAAGTGACAGGACATCATTTCTGAAATTAGGTTACAAAAAGACTGTGGTTTCCTTATTGCTCACCTTTCCTCGTTCTCCAGCTTTCTAGCTCTGCGGAAAGCCAGCTGCCATGTCAAGCTGCCCTGTGGAGAGGCCCACATGGCAAAGAACTCATATCTCCAGCCAACAGCCTACAAGGAACTGAGGTGCTCAGTTTAACAGCCCTCAAGGAACAGAACCCTGCCAAACAACCTGTGAATAAGCTTGGAAGTGGACCTTCTGAGCCCTGCAGGCAGTCGTAGGCATGAGCTAGGAAGCAGGTCCCCCAGTTGAGCCTTCAGATGGCTGCTGCCCTAGCCAACACTTTGAGTGACACCTGTGAGAGGCCTTGAGTAGGGGCAACCAGCTAAGCCACACCCAGATTCCTGCCCCACAGGAATGGTGAGATGATAAACGGGTGCTGCTTTAAGCCACTAGGACGTATTTAATCATGTGGAAGGCTCACGCTATAGTGGTGGCTGTGTTTACAAATTGGGGCTCACAGATAAGCACAGATCCCTCCCCAAGAATCTACAACATCTCCTCCCACTCATTTGAGTCTGTTTATAATTTTAAACAAGCCGAATATCAAACTATAGTGACAGTTGTACATTCTAGTTTTTCTACTTAATAGGTTGCAAGCAGTTTCTCACCTCATTAAATATTCTTCAAAGGATTCTTCAGTAGTCGTAATATGAGTGTATCAATGTTAATTTAGTCACTCCCCCCTTTTATTAGTTTTGAACTGAAGGTAGGTTTGTACTTTCTTGGGTGACATCTATCAGTAGGTGCGGCCCCTCCATTCAGGGCCTGTAGGGAGAGCACGGAAAGGCAGGCGGCAGGATCGCCTGTGACTAAGTCTCCCGATGTTGCATCAAGTCTATGCCATTTCCTAGCTATGTGACCTTGGGCTTGTTATTTAACACCGCTGGGCCTCAGTTTCCCCTTCTGAACAGCGGGGATAATAACCATACCTACTTCACAGAGTTATTAGAGGCATCATTGAGTTAACTCAAGTAAAACACAGCACAGTGCCTGACAAATTTTAGGATACATAGACACAAGCCAGACCATATTATCCTCATCCCCCCTGCCAAGTCCTGGTCCACGGTGTATTTTATCAAAGCTTGTCCCAGCCACCCTCTAATCAACATCTTGGCTTCCCCCTCCCTAGTCTGCTGTCCCTGAACCTGCTGGTGGCCCCAGCTCTGCTGCCATACACAATCCTGTAACCAGCACACCTACTCTTGCTGTGTGCCCCTGGACAAGTCCATCCCATTTCTGGGCCTCAGTTTCCTCATCTGCAATATGGGAGGGGGTTAGACTAGGTACAGGGTTCGGCAAATTTTTGAGACAGAAGAGCCAATCCTGTCCCTCACAACAATTTAAAAATTATTTGAGAGCCATAAAACAAATGAAATCACCATTACGTGAATAATATCCTTTAAAAATTTTATAAATGAAACTATGATAGTTTTATTTTCATTTTAAATTTTACTTCAGAGCCACATGTATGTACCCAAAGAGCTGCATGTGCCTCGCGAGCCACAGTTTGCCGACCCCTGGACTAGGAGGTCCATGAGGGAGTGCCCACCTTTAAGATTTTAGACTATTTCCTCTTCTTTCAAAGGCCCTTTGGTTTCAACAGTACAGAGTACAAGCAGGGCTTTGAACAACTGGCCAAAGCAAAAAGAGTCAGAAAACATTTTTATTTACCATATGTGCCAAAACTTGTGCTCAGCATGCTGGAGTGTGTCAAACACTAGCACAGTGTCTGCTAATGTGTGTGAAAAACCTGGGCGAAGAGCTGGGTCTTTTCATCTCCGGCCCCTTACAGCGTTGTTCTGAGTCTGAATGAGACGCTCCCCCTTGGAGCAGACACTGCAGCCGAGCTCCCATCTGGTCCCAGGCCCCTGTTTTTCCAGGTACCATCAGACCAAAGAGCAATGAGGGGTGTTGATCAGAGGGGCCCAAGGTCAATGAGGGCTTGGGGGCTGCACCGGGATGGGCGTGGTACTAGAGAAGGCAGAGGTTTCACTGCTGCCAGGTTCAGGTCCAGCACTTGCTTAAACGTAACCTTGCACCTGGCTCTCCCTTCATTCTTTCCTCTGGCCTTTTGTGCAATTCATGATGGCTCTCATGTCCCCCATGGCCTTGGTGTGTGTGTGTGGAGGGGGGAGGAGGCAAGGAGCTATTTGGGAACAGCTTAGAGAACTGACCCTACAGAATCTCCCCAGGTCTTCATATGGCTATAGGCACCCCTCCTATAGAAACCCCAGGGGAGACTCTTTCAAGTTCCTCCCCAATTCCCACCCACAGGTTCAGTTCCTGAAACTGAAAGCACTGCTAGGGGAAGAAAAAGACTGCTTCCGGGCTCCCCCTTTGCCTCTCTCCACCCAGGCTTGGACTCTGGACCGTCCCTAGTTAGGGAGAAGTTTCAGAAACTGCAGGGCTCTGTGGTCCTGGGAATCACAAAGCAAAAGGGGGAGCACCTCCCTGCTCCCAGCACTTAAACCATCAGTTTCTAGGACTTCAGCCACTCAGTGCCTGGGCCAGGATCCTACCAGGAGAAAGAGGAGCAGATGGTGGCGTTTCAGGTCCCAAGAAAGGCTGTGTGACTTTGGACAAGTCTCTTGGCTTCTCTGAGCCTCTGTCTCCTTATCTGAACAAGTGGAGTGATAATCTGGATTGTGCAGGATGACCATGAAGTTGAAATAAAACAGTGGTGGTGACAGGGCCTGGCAGAGCGATAGGCACGCAGTGATAGCTTCCTTTTCCTGGTGAAATGCTGGGCCAGCTGATCAGCCAGAACGGCAGCCTCCAGTGGCAGAGGAGGAGATGCTTGCTTGATGAGGCTGCTTCCTGAGCCCAAGGAAGGCGCCAGCCCAGTTCCAGGGGGCTGGGTTAGAAGTAGACTTGAGCCGAGGGAAGCAGGGGGAAGGCCAAGAGCGGGTGGGGGTTGAGACCCACGCCCAGCCCTTGCTGATTCACTGCCGAGAAGGCAGGCCTGTGCTCCCTGTCCTGCAGACACACCAGCCCCGGAGCAGCCGAGGGACTGTGGAGTGAAGACCCCAGCTTCCCCCTGGTGGGGTGCTCTGGCCTAAGGGGCTCTTGGGGGGCAGGTTGGGCTGAGGGGCTAGGCAGCAGGGCACTGAACTTGGAGGAAGGTCTCAGCAGGCTGAAGTCAGAAGGTGAAGCAGATTGAACAGGGCTGGGGGACAGTTGGGCAGGAGGTACAGTGATTGTAGTAGAGCTGAGGGACAGTGAGGGCATAGGGGACAGGAGGAGGCCAGGGGAACCATGAGGCTGTTGATCTGGTGAGAGTTGCTGAGATGAGGGAGAGGAGGCTTGGGTCTGAAAGAGGCCCGGTTGCTCCTGGCAGCCATGTTGTCCATGGGGCACTGGGTCCAGGGGCCGCTTGGCCTGGCCCCAGCTGCCGGGGGGCAAAGGAGCCAAGCTGGAGGCACAGTCCATGAGGCACAGGCACTCATGCATGCGCAGGGTCCGACTCCAGCGCTCCAGCTCAGCCTGCAGGCCCTGGATCTCCTTCCTCAGGGCGTGGTTGTGTCTCTCCAGTGACTCCTGCTGCTGGAGGGAGAAGCAAAAGGGCATGGAGGGGGATGTCAGCCAGCACTAGTGGCTCAGAACGAGCCCTGTTCCCCCCACCATCCCTCAGGGTCCTCAGCGTAGGGGAAAGATACCACCACTGTGCGAATGTCCAAGCTGGGGGCCCTGGGCTACTCTCTGGACTGCCCTCCACAACCACCACCAAGTCTCCCCCATTCTAGCACCTACTGGGGCTCAGATGTGCCTGCTCTCCATTGTCTGAGCCAGCGGTCTCTACCAGCCTGTGATCTCCACTCACCTGGGAGCTCCACCAGTCTTCCAACTGGGGCACCCCCCCAAACCACTCTGTTCTCTTGGCCCAGAGGAACCATTGAGTAACTGCGCCATTAACCGAACATTAAAGCCTTTTAAAGGCTCCTACAACTCTCTGTGCATGGTGACCCCAGCTTACACCTTCAGCTTTATCTCTCTGACTTCTGCTCCCCCACTTCCTGTCCCTCAGATGGACTCTGCTTCCTCGAAACATTTCCTGTCTCCTCTGCCTGGACACTCTTCCAGCACCCCCCTCCCTTAGGCTAATCCTGATATGGATTTCTCATGGCAACTTAGACGTCCTACTATCCTGGACACCTCAGTGCCCTGCCAGACCTCTCCAGCACCCCGCACTCGCCCGCTGAGGCACTATGGGAGGAGCCCAGGTCCTGTTTTGCAGGTTGGCAACACGGGTGTGTTCTATCCGGTGTCCCTGAGTCAACATGTGTCAGGTTCTGTCCTGCTGAACACTGGGCTCTGATAACCCACAGGGACAAAAATCAATGTGCAGTTCTAAATAACCATTTATGATGACCACAGTGGTGGAAAATGCAGAAAGAACTCTATTTCCACAGTTCATGAGGCTGAATGATTTCCTTTGGTTCCCTCTCTCACCTCACCCTTTGTGGACACTTTTTAAAAGAAACTGTAAGGGTATTTTACATAAAAATGTTGCTTAGGCCATGGACTCAAAGTTCTAACAGACCTCAAAGCCACCAGCGGCCCCATCCCAGGCTGGTTTCTGCATGTGGAGTGACATTTTTTAAATATGTCATTAGGCCACCCTTCACCTAAACCCTCCAAGGGCTTCAATTCACCTCCAGAAATTGGGTCACTCACTCACTCATTCATTCACTCATTCACTCACTCACTCACTCACTCACTCACTCACTCATTTGCTATCTTCAGGCTGCTCAAATGTTACCTGATCAGGGAGAGATCCCCTGTTTAGGAGGGCCCCATTCCTTTCTCTCTTCCCTGCTTAATTTTTCTCCATAGCACTATCACAATCTGACATCCCAAACACCTTACCGATAATTTATTTGTCTGCCTGGCTCCCCCACGAAAATATAACCCCTGGGGAGGGTGGGCTGGCCTTTCGTCTGCTGTGCCCATGGCTGTATCTCCAACGCTTAGAACTATGACTGTCACACAGGAGACACTCAATAGGCATTTCTGGAATGAATGAATAAATGCATGCATGAAATGTCATCCTGGCATTAGTCCTCACTCTGGCACAATCTGCAGGGTGCTGCTCTCTCATGCCCAGGCCAGTGAGATTTTGTTTGCCTTCACCTTTTCTTACCTCCATCCATTTGGAAATCTCCTATTTATCCTTCAAGACCAGCTCAGACTTTGTCTTTATATCATCTGATGCTATGACTTGTTGTTGCCCCACTATGTGTTCCCAGAACACTATTCTGACTGTGTCATTAGCTCTACAGGAAATTACTGAGTCCCTTGTCTTTGTCAGGCACTGTACCAGGTGATGGGGAAACAGCAGGGAACTTTGAACAGGAGTTCCCTGCCCTCATGTTGCTTATCATTTGGCAAGGGAGATAAGCAATGAACAACATCTAAGTATGTGTAGGTCAATGCTGAAAAGAAAAATAAAGGAGAGTAAAAAGGGGAGGTCTCTTTAGATCAGGTGGTTTAGAAAGGCCCTTCTAAGGAGGTGACATTTAAACCAAAAAACAGGAAAGAAGTGAGGATCTAGCTGGGCTGCTGTCTGAGGACAGAGGGAACAGCAAGGGCAGAGCCCCTGCGGCTGGATATGCTTGGCCAGAGAAGGCCCAGGGAGAACAGGGTGTGGGATGTTAGGAGAGGAGGGCGGACAGGTGGGGGTGGGCGCTGCAGGGAGTATAGGGCCTTTGGGTGCAGAGGGCTGGGAGTTTTACTCATCACTAGAAGGACTAACGTGTGAGCAGCCTTCCCAAGGGCCAGGTCCTGAGCCCAGCTCTTAATCCTCCCCCTGGGACTGAACTGGTAGTTGTCCTTTCTCTCTGCACAGAGTAAGAAGGGAACCATCAAGGGTCAGGTTACCATCCAAGGTCCAGAGGTGAGTGCAGGTGCAGCTCTCCCCTGCCTCACTGGGCTCCTTTGCCTTCTTTAGTCTCCACAAGGATCCTGCCAGCGGGCAGGCATTCTTGTCCCTGTTTTCAGATGGGGACAGTGAAGCTCAGCGAAAGAAGCAACTTGCAGCCAATGAGTGCCACAGCTGGGACTCTAAAGCTAGCCCATCTTAACCCTGAACCAGAGTTTCTCATAGTGTGGTCTTGGCCGCCCACATCAGAACCTTGAGAGGCAGGTTGATTAATCACAGTGCCACCTGAGGTGGGACCTGGGGTGGAGTGAAGGGGCAGCGATCTACATTTTAATGAGTGCCCCAGCTGGCTGCATTCTCCCAGCTGGCTTCTATTTCCTGTCGCCCCTCCCTAGATTGGGGGCTCTAGAAGGCAGAGCCAGCTGTGGATGCACCCTTTGTCCCTGGAACCCAGTATGTATCTGGCACACAGTTTGCACTCAACACCCAGGAATTTCCAAATTTTAGTGGCAGAGTCCTTCCCTCCTCCCCAGCTCAGTAACCAGGGAACACACAGCAATGTAGAGAGAACAGCTCATAGGCAGATGGAGAAGAGGCAACTGGACCAGGTGAGTGCAGGCAGGGTCAGGGAGGGAGGCAGCTCCCACCTGGTGCAGGGCATCTGCCTTGTCCGTGTGCTTCTGCCGGCTGCGCTGGGCAGATGCCCGATTCTTCTGTTGCTTCTTCAGCTGCTTCTGATGCTCCTCCGGGTCCTGGCAGGGGCTTGCACCCTCTGTCCTGGCCTTCTGTAAAGCGGTGCCATTCCTGAGTCAAGTCCCTGAAGGTCCCTTTCTCTCAGAAGCCACCTCTGGCTCCCTTGGAGTCCACACACCCCATCACAGGCACAGGACGCGTCATTGGAATGCCAGCCTCATTCAATGTCCTACTCACATCTCATGCTGGGGGAGGACAAGCCAGAAAGCTGGGATCCTAAGATTCCAACCCGGAGGGACCTGACTTCACACCCACACTCTCCTTACCAGCTGTGTCACTCTGGGTAAGTCACTCACTTCTCTGAGCCCAGACACCTCATCCATTCAATGGAGGCATCACAGCGCCTTCCTTACAGGCAATAAAGCAGGCAGCCCAGGGCCAGCCCAGAGCCAGGGGTTAATAAAGTTCCCATCGCTATGATTTACATGGTCAAGGTCAAGGTGTTGATTTCCCTAGCCACGAGTTCCACCTGTGAGGGCAGAGCTGGGGTCTGGCTCGGCTCCAATGAATCCATGAGCAACTCAAGCCCAAAGCTGATATTTACCTCCTCAACAATAGTTATTGAGCAGCTACTGTGTGCCAGGCACCGAGTGAGGGGGACACAGCAGTGAACAAAACAGGAGGAAATCCCTGCCCTCAAGTTGCTCACATTCTTGTGGAACAGCAACCTCTAATGAATACATGAAGTCCGTTCTGACGGAAGAGTGGACTCTTCCCAGCCCCCGACCCCAGATTAGAGACCCATGATATTTTGATGGAAATTTTAACCCAAATGCCCAGGAGCTTTGGCAGGTCAGGCAAGAGGGAATGTTGGACACCCCGCAATCCAACCTTCCCTCCCATAGGTCTCTCTGGGAGGTGTGTTCTAAGGCGCTCAGGCAAGACCCTGACCTCCCTGGCTGAGGATGCCGTGCTCCCGGGTCCATGGCCACAGCAGACCCATTCCAGGTGCTGGGGAGTGCCAAGAGACCGGAGCTTGAGAGAAAGGCCGGCAGTGAGAGAAGAGGGTAGCCTCTGGTACCCGGGTCCTGGGAAAGGGGCAGGGCCTCCAAGGGGAACCATACTGGAGAATTCGGGGAGGAAAGAGAGGCCACATTAAGGGCAGTGAGGGGAGAACAGGTGGGTTAGGAGACAGCAGTCTTCAGAGGCCAAGTTCTAACCGGGAGGCTGGATCTGCAATATGAGAACTGGAAAGCCCTCTTTCCAATCCCGGAGGAAACTGAAGCCCCGAGAGGCGGGTATGTGCAGCCCATGGTCACACAGCCCATGTGTACAGAGCTGGAATGAGATGCTCTGACCACGTTCTCCCTGCTTGGGCCCTGGGGACCCTCAGGCATATTCCCCTTCTCCTCCCCTGTCCCTGGCTCCCTGTACTCACCGTCCCAGTCAGCAGCCCTTCACCCCCGCAGAGGTGCATGGCTTGGGCAGAGGGACAGAGGCTCGCACCTCGGCTTGCTGTGACCTCCCAGTGCCCTCTGGAGGCCCAAGGAAGTGGCGTCTCTTTAAATCCCCAGTGACCACTCCGCCCCCAGTAAGCCAAGTTTCAGTTTCTTCTAAAGCCACTGGCTGCTCAGAATCCCTGGCTAGGGTTGCCTCACGTGGCTGGAATTTCCTAGTATGAGCTGGCCTTCCGGTTGGGCCCCTTCTCTGGAAGGAGGACAGATGGCGGAGGGTGGCCAGAGGAGGGGAGACCCAAGGCCAGGTGTAGGGAGGGTGTTCTGGGGGCAGGAGGGCAGGCTGCCAAGGACAGAGCCAAGAGGGAAAGATAATGGGGTACCAAGGGCTCATAGGGGATGTGGGAGAGCCTCTGGGTTCTGGAATATTAGGGGACCAGGTTCATAGCCCACCCAAAACCAGAGCACGTTTGAGCTGTGCAGCTTTGAAAAGGTGGTTCACCCTCTCTGACCTTTAGTTTCCTCACCTGTACAGGGTGTTAGGGAATGATACAAATATCCACTCACAGGCTTAACGTAGGAACCAAGCAAGATAACACAACACCCCAAACCTTATGAGACCAACGTTGAGACAAAAATAAGCAATAGCC